TGTTACTAAATAAGATTTATCCACCTCTCTATTATGCAAACTTTATGTGACAGTGACCTGTACCTTCATTCACAATTGTATTTTATTTTTAATTTGTCAGTTAGTTAATTGTAAAATGAACACATTATTTAATCATCCATTCATAATATTCTTTGTACATGTCTCCAGTTATGTAAATGTTGTGAAATTAATGCCGTTTTAACGGTGAAATTAAGTTTTTTATGAAGCTTTGCTTTGTTGATGGTTTTTATGGAGCTGTGTTCTAAATGAATTTTAACAGTAGCAGCAGCAAAGTATAGAAATAACTACACATTGAAGTTTTTCCTGAATTTGTAATTAATCACTTTCTATGTTGGCTTTAATCAACAACAAACATGATAGAAATGTTTAAATGTGGCTGTCCTTCCACCATCCTTGCTGTGTCCATCCTGGGAAAGCCAACACACCAACATTGGTAACCAGGCATTTAGGTCACCATGATGTCAGGTGACATCAGGTGACACAAACACCACTCCAAATGCAACAAATAAAATATAATAATTATAAATAATGTCAATTAAAAGTTATAAATGCAGATAGAAAAGTTGTCCTCCTGTCTTCTCTTACCTCTTCCTCCACAGTCTTTCACCAACAATCACAGTTGACACACCTGCAATGTGAGTGAGGTCAGTGTCAATCTTTATGGGTGGCCACACTTGCTGCAGATGTATGATGTTGGTATGTCAGTTTTTCTCCAGGCAAGTGGCACCCTCTCTGCCACAGCAGTTGGGGCCGCCTTCCTCTTCCTGTAGGCCCTGGTCCTTGGTACAGTAGTTTCAGGCAGAGAGGTGCACTAGACAGAAGAGGGGAGGGGCGCTGAGTGGAGGAGACGACCAGCACTGGATTGAGGTGCCAGGCTGCTCCTCCGGGACATTGAAGTTTATCCTTGTTCCCACCTGTACCAAGACAGACCCTTTGCTGAGATGGGAGAGTGTGCTGGCCAGCACCTGGAACACACAGACAAACAGGACGTTTAGGATTTTCAGCTTTCATGAAAAGATAAATCACAGAATCACCAACACAGCTTATTGACAAACTTTCCACAATTCAATCAAAGAGCTGATGTTGGTTGAGCCATTACCTCGGCGGCTACACTGTCTCTAATGGCCACAAATAATCCCTTGAGAACAAATGACCACCAAGTCACTCAAAGTCGCTCGAATGACGTGGCCACCGGGTGAGACAGCAGAGCTGGTTGCATATGACCTCCACAAGGCGGGCTAACACTGGCCCAGTTTGCAGGGCCTGCAGTTCAGTCCAAGAGGACAGCTGAAAATAAAATCAGAGGAGCAGTGTGTGTTAATATAGATCTGATATTCATTAGAGGAAACTGATATTGAAGTGAATCACTCTGGAGACTCTCCTTCCCAGGACAGGGTGTTCTTCCCCGTCGCTGCCTCTCCTGTATCTGGGAGGGAAGACAACTCGCTATTTGTCCTGCTCTGTCTGGCAGGTGTTGTCGGGAGCTTGAATACCTGGCACTGGCTTGACAAAAAAGGTTTTGATCAAAAATGAATTTCATGTGCATCAAATGATAATACAGCAATTACTTTAATCACACGCTATGAGACACACCACATGTACCTGGGATGAACTGGTTAAGGTTGGAAACCGCAAGGGCTGACCCGCCCTTGTCAGTCTACCAGTCTCCTGATGTACAGCTGCACACCACTGTGGGTCCTGAGTGCAGCTGAGGTGGCGCCTCTGTGTTCTCCATACGTCCTGGATGTGAGAGAATCCAGCAAAGGACATCACAGGCGACGTGGAGATCCTGGATGAGAAGGACGTTCTCCTGCCCATGTGTCCTTCCCTCCAACAATTGGAGCCTCCCCTCCTCCCAGGAGATCCTCAGGATCACCTTGGCAACAGTCAGGCTGAGCATCATGCGATTCCCCTCCAGGTAGGACCGCCGCTATGCCTCAATGAAAGGCAGGCACCTCCGGGGTCCACCTCGAAGATGCAGCGTCGTCAATCCAGCCACCATCTTGGAAAGCCAACATACCAACATTTGTAACCCGCAGCTGTTTCAGAAGCAAGCACCAGCGAGCTTCTTTGTCACCTGGAGGAGGAGAGAGACAGAAAGGTTTCAAATGTTAATATCACAGCATGGTGTGAAAGCAGCTGTAAGAACATGTACTCTGCCGGAATTAAACCTCATCCTAGAGAAAGTCCCTGGTGGGAGGCACCCGTTGGAAAAGATACTAGAGATTGGCTGTTGGACAGATCAATCAGTTGCACATACAATGCATTTAGAAAGTACTCACCTTTACATTAATACATTAAATTATTATTACATTATTTTGCAATCTGAAAACTTGTTAAATTCATTCATCAGTGAACAATGCCAGCAAGATGGCTGTTAATGCTAGCAAGCTGGCCCCCCCACTTGTTATTTTGCAGTCTTGTAATGAAATCATCAAATTCATTCATCAATGACCAATGCTGTTATCATCATTATCATTTATTGCAGCTATACACATCATGTTAGCAATGTCATCATTATTTTCACAAGTATTGTCTGGTTGTCACAGCTGCTAATGCCAGCTAGCCCCCCCACTTGTTATTTAGCAATCTTGTGAAATCATTAAATTCATACATGAAAAATGACAGCAAGCTAGCCCGCCCATGTCACCTTCTGTTCTCCTTGTTTTCACCAAGACAAAAAAAAAAAGCTAATGCTAGCTGCTAATGCTAGCAAGCTACCCCCACCCCCTTTGTGTTCTGTTTGCCCCTTTTCACCAATAAAGACCAAAAAGAAAAAATGCTAATGCTAATGCTAGCTGCTAATGCTAGCATGCTAGCCCCCCACCCCCTTTGTTTTCTGTTTGTCCCTTTTTCACCAATAAAGACAAAAAAAGCTAATGCTAGCTGCTTAATGCTAGCAAGCTAGCCCCCACCCCCTTTGTTTCTGTGTTGTCCCTTTTCACCTATTAAGACACAAAAAAAAGCTAATGCTAATGCTAGCTGCTAATGCTAGCAAGCTAGCCCCCACCCCTTTCTGTTCTGTCCCTTTTCACCAATAAAGACAAAAAATGCTAATGCTAATGCTAGCTGCTAATGCTAGCAAGCTAGCCCCCACCCCCTTTGTGTTTCTGTTTGTCCCTTTTCACCAATAAAGGACAAAAACCAAAAAATCTAATGCTAATGCTAGCTGCTAACGCTAGCAAGCTACCCCCCACCCCCTCTGTTCTCTTTGTCACTGTTTTACCAATAAAGATTTAAAAAAAAAAAGAAAAAAAGCTAATGCTAATGCTAATGCTAGCTGCTAATGCTAACGGAACGCGGCTAGCTCGCGACCCCCAGTGCCGGCTTGCGCCCAGCAGACAGAGCTACGGCGCTGCCGCGACCCCCATGCGCCTTGCGCCCAGCAGACAGAGCTAGCGCCGGCGGCTAGCTCGACCCCCATGCGCCTTCGCCCAGCAGACAGAGCTAGCGCCCCGGGGCTAGCTCGGACCCCCAGTGCCGGCTTGCGCCCAGCAGACAGGCTAGCCGCCGGCGCTAGCTCGCGACCCCCAGTGCCGGCCTTGCGCCCAGCAGACAGAGCTAGCCGCCCGGCGGCTAGCTCGCGACCCCCCAGTGCCGGCCTTGCGCCCAGCAGACAGAGCTAGCCGCCCGCGGCTAGCTCGCGACCCCCCAGTGCCGGCCTTGCGCCCAGCAGACAGAGCTAGCCGCCGGCGGCAGCTCGCGACCCCCAGTGCCGCCTTGCGCCCAGCAGACAGAGCTAGCCGCCCGGCGGCTAGCTCGCGACCCCCAGTGCCGGCCTTGCGCCCAGCAGACAGAAGCTAGCCGCCCGGCGGCTAGCTCGCGACCCCCAGTGCCGGCCTTGTCTAAACGAACGTAGCCCCCGACTTAGCCCCCGACTTAGCCCCCGACTTAGCCCCCGACTTAGCCCCCGACTTTAGCCCCCGACTTAGCCCCCGACTTAGCCCCGACTAGCCCCCGACTTAGCCCCCGACTTAGCCCCCGACTTAGCCCCCGACTTTAGCCCCGACTTAGTCCCCCGACTTAGCCCCGACTTAGCCCCCGACTTAGCCCCCGACTTAGAATTGGCTCAAAGATTTTTGAGCTTATAAAGTCATGTTTACAAATAATTCTATTTGTAGTTGGAAATCAACCTGTTTAAACCTGGAAAATAAATCTGAATGAAAAATTCAACTTTGTGCATGTGAAAACAAATTGTGCTTGTGGCAAAGACATTTGTATTTGTTAAGACAGTGTGAATCAAAACTTTTTCAACCTCAACACTCATCATTTGTTGAGTTTTGATTCAGACTTTCAACAAATACAAATCTCTTTGACACAAGTGCAATTGTTTCACATACGCAAACTTGAAATTTCTCACCCCATTTATTTTACAGGTTTACAAAAGGTGTGATTTACAACTACAAACATTGAATTATTTGTGAACATCACTTTACAAGCTCAAAATCATTTTGACCCTAATTTGAGCCTGGATACATGTAGTACAGTCAACAACAGTTTTGGTTTTAAAACATCTGCTCACTTAATACACAAAAGCACTTTGTGTCTTACATCGCCACTGGTTATTTGTTCGCTTTTATCACAAAGTCTTGATTTTCTTTTAACAGATGCAAAACTTGTTCAGTGTATTATTGAGGGTAATTTCGTGCAAGGGTAATTTGCAACACATTACAATAGACCTGCATTGTAAACTAGAGTGAAATCCATCAGTATTTTGTGGTTGTTTTTACAGTTGTGTAGCTTTTGGCAGTAAAGTCATTAAGCAGTTATTGAGTAGTTCCTCATTACGTCACAATGAGTTCCTTCACAACAAACCATAGACAGCAAGCTTCCCAACAAGTATTTTAATTATAATATTCAAGCCACATATAAATAATCACATTGTTTTCTGATGCATTAGCGATTATGATGACAAAGAAAAATAAATCTTAACAGAATCATTTTAACATTTTGTAGTTTATATCATGTGCATGACTTACCATTTCTTGCTTTCGAGAGACTGCAAAGGTGTGGTTCCAGCCTGAGGTGGATTCTGCCATCCCTATGAAAACACAAAAGGAAAAATAAGGACTTGTAAAGCAGCTCCTCTTGACTATGAATTTTTTTTGAAGCATTCAAAAAAGGACTTCAGAACATAAATAAATCAATCATCCATTTAAACCTTATTTAGCATGTACTGTAATAAAAACAAGATTAATTTTTTTTATATATATATACACACATACATACATATATATACATACATACATACATACATATACACATATACATACATACACACACACACACACACACACAGTGTTGAGGCAACACAAAGACACTGGAAGAGTTAGAGCTTCTGTCAATGTCTGAACACATGCAAAGCACAAAACTAAAATTTGGTGCTCAAAATTCAAAAGTGTGTGACACTGAGGTAACAAGTAGAATTTAAATTCAGGTGTAAAAATAGGATCTGAATACTAATTGTAACCTCCATACACTTGCAGATTTATGAAGGCAAGGGGATACTGCAGGACACGTGCAGGCTATAGCAGCATGAGGAAGGGATGATGACATCACAAAAGCAGACTCAGAAAATAAGGTTTATTTCACTTACAAGTTTTCACTTACAAGATATTTGGCTTGGTGTAGTATCAAATTAACGTATTCATAAGAAATAAAAAAGTGAATGCTGCAATACTTAAATATAAATAGATTAAAAAAACAAAACAATGGAAACGATACTACACAACCATATACAAAAGTGTTCTAGAATAACAAAACTCCAGCTGGGCAAGCTGTGCAAAAGGTATTGATTAAGGGATGTGCAAAATATCACAGTATAGACAATATCTGTTATGTGCAGGGATAATACCTCAAGGTGTTGATGTAATGTGGTTGTTGATTGATGAGGCCAGATGCAGAAGGAAAGGCAGGTGCTGGTCCATCATTGGTGATGATTAGACTGGAATTCTGGTCCTGATAAAGACAAACATGTGATAGAACAATTCATTTAGATCATACAAGTTCTTTACATTCAAACAGGTCTGTGTTGTGTATGTATGTATGTATATATAAAATTGTGAGGATAGATATGAATATGCAAAAGTAAATGGTTTGTCAGTCGTTGCACCGATTATACTTTTAGCTAAAAAGCCAACAATGATGTAGCTCACCGGGCTAACAGGAAAGTTGCGAGCTCGGCATCAAACCGCATCTCTTTACTCTCAGGAGCCGTCTCCGGCGGTGGAAAACCACATCGAGAGTTACTCGTGTTGCTTCTTTTCTTCGCCGTTGAACGTGGTTTCTTGTCGGGAGCGGTCCTGCGGGATAAAGATACAGATCGCCTTTTAGGAGGTTCAGCCATTCCTGTTTCTGAAATGCTAACTTATAGCGCTGCCGGAAGTTGTTCTTCTTCGTGGGACTGAGGGAAGACTTGACCCGCCGCTGATTCACACAGCGTCTAGTGTCACAAAGTGGTATTACAACAGGGGACAGGTCGGGGCTGGCTGGTTACCGTGCTCATTTCAGTAGATAACTGAAACACAATAGATGGAGATCATGACATCATCACTGTGGCTGCTTCGCACACTGTTGATAGTGTTAACTCATTATTTGAACATTTTAAACTAAAGTTCTGGCCAGATCTTATATTGAACCTTTACAGCACAACCACCAAAGCTGGCATTTAAAACTAAAGCTACATGTATTTTGCCCACATTGCAAACCAACTTAGTTTTGACACTTAAGTTAAAACAAAAACATTGAGCTTAACTGATATTGACACATTTGATGCATTAAAACATTTTGATTTGCTTTGACAGTATATAAATCTATGCTTGGAATATAAAATACAATCATGCTTTCCCCCTTATACTTACATTCAATTTGTAACTTACGAACGTTTGTATTTGCCCATTTTGCATTCAGGCCAGTAGATGTTGCACTGTTCACATGAAGCATCAAGATATAAACCCTTTGTGGAACCACTTTGCTGAGAAAGAAAAACCTCAGACGCTGTGGGACTCACATCCAGTACCAGGCGGTTGATTTCTGCAAGTAAAGAAGACATAACAGCCCGGGAAATTTCACTCACCGAGTATTTCACTTACTGGTCGTGGACTGCTCACAGAGCCAGGTTTCAGTTGCAGCCATGTTGGTTTCTATATACAAAGAAATCATGGTGTATTGTCCTCCCAGTCACCATATGTTGGCAGTCTTTATGTTACGACACAGCTAGGAGAAAAGGGAAATAACATAAAACCAGATGTTATTCGTAAATCAAATGTATTGCATAATCCGGAGGCTAAATAAGGAAACAAAAACACAAACAAGGTGAGAGGATAACTAAAGTAGGGGAACAGAAGCCAACAAAGAGCCCAACTGTGCGATTCTAACCAACCCCAAAACACAAGCAGCACATCTGTTCCTAATGTGTCCAACAGTCTGTTTCTAAGGGTGTGATGCACAATCAGAATTTTAAACCTAGCCCAGTCCCCAACAATCAACACCAGCATCTGAAACCAAATCACAAATTACACATTAATGTTCACAAAGGCGGTACAGAGGCGAGCTGCCTATCATGTCAGCCGCCACTAATGATGTGCGGGCCGGGCTCTTAAACTCTCTTCCTCTGATGCTCAAACGGCAACAGCTGTGGCGAGGACTGACAGGGTCATTGCTGCACCAGTAGGAGAAGCCGTGGAGTCGGAGGCTCCTCCTCTCTGCTCCGACAGGGACAGGTAATCCATCAGTTAGTGTTAAAAATGCCGGAGCTTTGTGCAGCAACAGGCTGTAATAACAAGAACAACTGTAGAGAGTCTTTGCTCTGCACGGCCGCCTACACCTGCTACCGGACCGCAGCAGGCTCCTGGATACAAGGTAAGAAGTCGCTGCTAACACAGTTAGCATTCATAATTCGAGTTAAACGTTATATTTTAGGTATAAAATAATCTTAGTAGCTAATTGCATATATGTCCACATTTGGTAAATATCACATATATGAGGAGAAACCTTGTAATATTAGCTGAAGTTCCTGTGTGTAAGCTAACTGTGTGGTGTAACCGCTTGTATTAAAACCATAGACCGAGTGAAAACATGTTATAACGTGTTTTAAAATGAGTTCTGCAAAGCGAAGGTGACGTCACCGACCATAGTGTTAACAGAGACAGCGGGTTGTCAATGTCGGTAAGTCACGGTCACTAAACGATCCCGTTATTACAGTGAACTTGTCGCCCTGTCTGGCCACGCGCTGACTCTAAAGAGCAAGAGCAGCGGACGTGTGTGTCGTGATTTGTTCATATCATCAGTTTGGTTCAGTGTTATGTCGGCTAGTTTCAGCTCTAGTTCATTTCATTATTGATGACAGGAGTCAAACACATCTGTTGGAATGATTCTCTCTGTCAGCATACTTCCAAACCGACCCATCAACTGAGAGCTGAGAACCATCATGACATGTGCACCTGCACAATGACACCAAACTGAGTATTAGTTTCTATTCTATTGTTATTTAATGTAAAACGGTTCAGCACTCTTTTTTACAACTAAGCTGAAGGAATAATGTATTTTCAGATATCTGTGATCATCTAATCAGAGTGCTGTTTCTTTTGTCTTTTTCTCTGTACTCTACAATATGATATTGATATGATTTCTCTCTATTGTTATGTTTTTTTCCATCCAGTCAAGTTCTGGATCTTTGGGGACACCTACAACCTCTTGCAGCAATGATGGAGGCCCTGCATCACCCCCACCTGCAGTGTCCACACATGAAGATCTTCTCTTCCCAAACATAGACACAGTGTATTATATGATAATATAGTATTTTTTTAATGTAACACTTGTAGCCATAACATTGTTCAGTCTTAACAGCTATGCTCTTCCTTGCTCCCCACACCCTCACTGTCTTATTACACTCTCTGCCCCATATCAGACATACAATTAGATGACTTTTGGACTCCACTGTAGCTGTAACAAATTATCAATATTTTAAAACATTAGAGTCTGTATTTCATAGTCCTCAGCCATTATAGTTAATATCAGTGTGCTGTTCCAACATCATCACTTATTTAGAGGGAGATTGTTACTGGAGCAAATAAATATACTGTCTCACACATTAGGACTCATGATGAATAATGATTATACATGTTACCAAAAATTCTGTTGCACTGTTGATTCAACTACTTCTTTTTATAAAGCAAAGTTACATATGACAGTGAAATCCAGCTTTAACTTCATCCACAACTATTTTTTTTATTTTAAATAGTTAGTTGATTGTAAATTGTACACTACAATATTTAATTAATCCATTTATTATTCTTTTATACATGTTTCCAGTTTTGTAAATTGTTTAAATTAATGTAGTTTATAATGCTCAATAAAGTTATTTAAGAAGCTCTTGCTTTAACTTTGTTGATGGTTTTTATAGAACACATCTAGTATGAATTTTCACAAGAGTAACATGTACAGCATTGTGTGACTATTTCTATGTTAGCTTTAATCAACAACATAAATACTAGAAATGTTTAAATGTTGCTGTCCGACAACACTGATAATGAAGGATCAAAAAACATGCTGATAACAGGTAAATACTTTCACCTGTGGAGGTGGTGACAGTGCTAGAGATGATCCATCACCTAATCACCATTTAATATTTATAAATTCTGTTCTTAAAAGTGTTGCTACCATCGCCTGTCAACAACAGTAGAAATAAAGTTGCAGGTAAGAAACTGAACCTGTGAATACTGAAGACAGAATAATAAACTTATCAGCAGTTAGTCTGTCATTTCATCAGAGGAAGATGAACTGGGAATGGTTTTTCTAGCATCATCATCACAGCACATTTGAGAACTAAGGATGTCCATGCAGTCTCCCTTCTCCACAACCAGATGAATGGAAACAAATGGGCTGCTCTGTACATGAGGTCCTCCTTCTGTTGGCACAGATCACTCAGTTTTCACAGTGTGGAAACCTTTCAAATGACAATAAAAGACAAACACTTGAGTTAAGATGCGGTGGATCACAGTTAATCACAAATATCTATCAGCTGTCAGGATAGGTGCATGAATGTCTGCTTCAGCTGAGGACTTGTTTGAGTATTAAATGAACAATCTTCTATATGACAAATATTTGTCTACACATTTTGTATATGTCACGTTATCTTAAATTGAACTATCATGACGTCTTGATTGACAATACATTAACTAACATTAACGCTGCACATTACACCAACGCAGATCACTTAAACTGGGTCACATGTGCGACAAAACACAAACCAAACGTCGTTAGATTAACGTCGATTAAATGTACATTTTTATTGGGCTTTGACTGAACACCTCCACGAGCTAATCCAGGTTGACACAGGTTATCAGCCCAGCGGGGCCAGGTACCGTTAGCATAGCGATCGCTAAATTATCAGCTAACGCTAGCACTAGCTGGCTAGCTTGGTTAGCAAGGTGCATCTTCACCTGAACTGTGATTATTAACAGGGATGCTAATTTTGGCTAGCAAAGAAATAGGCTTAAAACAAAATGTACTTACCGCAAAAAATTGAACCGCCGACTCCTCTGAGTGTCTTTAAGAACAACTGAACGCAGAACGAGACATTTTCAGGCAAACATGTTGGAGCTAACTTTGACGAACTGAAAACACAAACACATCGCTCTGACCTCATATCCGGATTAAAAGGCAGGTCCCCCCCTGAGTGTCAATCACGCGGTAGCCACGCCCTGAAGCCACTCTGCTTTAACCTCTATTTTTTTTTTTTTTTTTTTAAATGGGACCATAATTTTAAAAAATGAACATCATATTGTATTGAATAAAACTTCAATCTAGCGATTCAGATTCATAAACAAATAACAAATCAAATTTGAAAATACGTGTTGAGTAGGATTGTGCTGCTGGGTGTCGGCACTCCTCAC